TGGTCTTGGACCATGTTTAGCCCACAAGGTTAAAGAAGCGAGGAACAGGAGCTGATGGAACACATCTGGGTGACCAAACAGCACAGAGCCAAGGAAAGGGCACAAAACCTATGGCCTGTCTGGTCCTCTAAGACTTGGCAACTTCTGTGAACATTGTCTTCTTTTTTCTCTTCAATAAAAAACAACTGGTTTGTATATACTTTAACTACCTTGATGGTTCTAAAAGTAGCTTATCGATTAATTCTCTTAAGATTGGTAGTCACATTTTCTATAAAATTTTGCCTTCTGATACTTTCACGTTCAACATATTTGCTATAATGAATATTTCTTAAACTTGCAGTGATGAAAGGGTGTTGAAGATTTTAAGCTCTGAGAGAGATCCGATGAGAGGACAGAAGCCAAGTAAAACAGCTGAGAGCCCTCAGCACACACAGTGCTTGGCGGCATCAGCAGAGACACCACCACCGTCACCACCGCTGCACTGGTGCAGCCGCCCTCCTCCCCTCTGCTCGTGCACCCTTCGCTAGCACCATGGCTCATTCATTTTAATCTGACTGAAGAACAGATAGCTGAATTCAAGGAAGCTTTCTCCTTGTTTGACACCGATGACGATGGCACCATCACAACAAAGGAACTTGGAACTGCCATGAGGTCACTGGGTCAGAGCCCAACGGAAGCCGACCTGCAAGATATGACCGACGAAGTGGATGCTGTACGGTAATGGCACCACTGACTGCTCAGAATTTTTGACTACGATGGTTAGAAAAATAAAAGGCACAGTGAAGAAGAAATCCATAAGGCGTTCCGAGCCTTTGACGAGGATACCAGTGTCACCGAACTACCTCACGTCATGACAAACTTAGGAGAAAAACTAACAGATGAAGAAGATGAAATGATCAGAGAAGGAGATATTGGAGACGGACAAGCCAACTATGCAGAATTCACACAGATGATGACTACAAAAGAAGACCTACTTTCAACTCTTTTGTCCCCCTCTAGAAGAATCAAACTGTATCTTTTACTTACCACCTGCAAAAATAAAAAAAAAGATTGTTTACTCATTGTTTCTAGATAGCAAAACTGAATATTGAAAGTACCTTCTGTCCACACACAAGAAAAATCTGCATGTATTGATTGGTAGTCCTGTGTCCTCAAGACCAAGCTACACATCAGTTTTACGATACAAATACACTACCTTAATGATGAGGAAGCCCTTAGTGGACTCCTTGTAGTTCCATTTGCTAACGATTAACACAGTTTGGGCTGGCCCGTTTTTCATGCACGCAGCTTGACAACTGAGCACAGTCAGGCATTTGCATTAGAAATAAAATATGAAAAAACAAATTTAAAACCTATTCAAATGGGTTCTAGTTGCTTGTTAGCATACATCGTCATAGCTGGTTTGCTGAAAGCAAACACTGTTAAAATTGGTTTACCTCAGGATGTGTGTATAAGTAGAATGAACTGTCTAGATGTAGCCCCACTAACAGGATGGTCCCCTTCTACTTCCGTGTGCCCCAACCTGTGGTAACGGTAACACACCCTGGTGGCATGCCCACGTGTTGGTTTAGTGTCGTTTGCACTGTACTGGAATGAAATGAGTGTCAGGCTGTTACTGTTCATACAAATTTTTTAAAAGAAACTTTTACGAAGGGAGCATCTTTGGACTCTCTGTTTTTAAAACCTCTGACTTGGAGCCAGCAGAGGTAGGCAGTGGCTGTGAACTTCAGAACAACCATCAACACTGCTGTTCAAGAAATTACAATGTATGTCCAATTCCAAGTTGTAAATGCTAATCTTTTTATTTTTTTCCAATAAAAAGGCCATGAACTTTAAAAAAGCACGCAACATAAAATGACTCCAAGAGTTCAAATCTAAAGTGGACTGTACAAGTCTACATTCTGGTTATCACGGTAGGATTTCAAAGGCAAGTAAATTTTATTTAAAGTTTAAGGGACTAACATAGAGCTGCAAACTTTTTGTATTTCCAGTGTTCGAACATTAAAACAAATTCAATTAAATAATTTTAGTTTACAACTCATTCATCATGTTTTACATTTTTTTCCTCATTTCAGTACAAATTGGTAAAAATGACATCAGGCAAAGCACCGGTTTCTAGTTTAATGAGCAGTGAATAGCAAACTATAACAAATTTAATTCTAAACCTGAATTAAACAAGTTATTTGCTAAATTACTCTTTTATTTTTCCCTTTTGAAAACACCAATGCCACTTTACTGTTTGAATGTTTTAAGTATTAAAATAATTTGGGCTCTCTGAACTTTTCAGACTACACGGATACAAAAAATAATTAAGGTCATTGTAAATCTTACAGAGTAGTCCTGAAAATGACACATTGTGCATTTGTTAAAAGATGTGCCAACTGAGATCAAGGTGCTTTCCTGTCAGGAAGGGATTTCAACATCGCTGGTTGTGTCACTCACTGCATAAATGAGTTTCATACATTCAGCACAAACGCTAAATTAAGAGATCAGAAGGCCTGGGTTCTAGTGCCAGTTTTATTTGTAACTAACCATGTACAGATCACTTATCTTTGAAATAATGATTAACATCATTCCCTAATTCGCAAACATATCAGGAAACCAAAATCCTTCCCAGGAAAATCTCTTTGTAAACCAAGTTATTACTACTAATTAGCTTACACCTAACTTAAAGGTTGAGAATGCCAATTCAGAGAATGTCTTCTATCAGTCGGTTGCCTACCTTAATTCTGCAGATGGATAATCTCACTGAGGTAAGCATTTCAACCTTACAGAACAAAAAGCTATCAACAAGAAGTTAATGGTGAAAAAAAGTTGGCCAAAAAATACCACTATTGAGAGCTAGCTTTTCATGTTAAGAGCAGTGCTTAATACCATCCCTGATATTAAATGGAACAAAAGTTAGCCTTTGACCACTAAAGCATGCTTTGTTTCACTAGAAATAATGTTAAATAGGAATGTCTTGTGGACTCTTCAAATGGCCAAATGGCTGAGAAAACATTATTTGTGCGTGTTTGTTTTGTTTTCATCCCTCTCTTTTTCATTTAAAATCCAGTTCCACATCCCAGAGCACACTCCTCAGTACTCTGCCAGGGCATAAGAAATGTTAGCATTTGGTCACTAGAAAGTAAACAAAGAAGAGGAATCAGCATGTTGTTGAATGAAGATTCAAGATAATTCTAAGTGTGTCTAGGAAAATTCATAGACCAAAAGCATCTGTATATGCACACCATTTATCATGTATAGGTATTACGACAATCATGTATTTACAAACCCTCAAAAGGTTAAACACCAATGTTCTTGCATTTAACAATGTCATATTTGTGTAATTTAGTTTCTATTTCTGGACTTTCCCTTACATTATGATGATACAAAACAAACAAACAAAAAGCCCAAAACAAAACGAAAAAAACAAAGACTGGAGCATGGTTCACAGAGAAACACAGAACAGACAGGAATACCCTAATAAAATAATTATGTACACCACTGCTTAGGGAAATATTTTAGAGGAAATATACTTTCACTATTGGCCCCAAATGCCATCATCCACTTATGTTCTTTAACTGTCAACTTTTAATACAAAAATACCTTCAAGCTGATAATCATTTATAGTAACTTACAAAACTGACAGAATATTTCAATGCTACACAAAACAGTTCTATACACAGCTTAAAGTTTTAAAGTTTTCTGTTAGCAACTCATTTTATAGTTGATAGACACAATACCTACTCATTTCAATAAAATACTGTTTTTAGCTTATACATATTTTCAAAACTAATATTACCTCACAAAACAGTAAAGAATAAATCACTTCCTACTGAAGAATACTCTAAGACAAACACTAAAACTATATAGCCAAAATATTTTATGAAAGCATATAAACTTTTTAAGACAAGGCATGACCAACGGATAAAAATTTATATTACTCAATCACATGTCCAGTGAAAAAAAAGGATTGTTGCTCTGATTCAGTGAAGCCTATATCAGGTACAGAAGAAAATATGAACTTACGAATCAAGATACCTATATATTTTTTGGTTTAGAAGGGTGTTTAAATAACTGGCGACACTACTAGAATGTTTTTGAGATAGAAAAATGGTCACTTTAGCAAATATACATTCTATATTCCAAAATTAGAAGCTAAATTTCTTTTAAAACAATGGAATCTTGATTTTTTACTTTCTGTGAGCTCTTAAGACTATTCTGCACTATATCAAGATGAAATCGCTATTTAATAACCTTTATACGTTCAATTCTTTTCCTTTGCAAAAGGGAAAAATAAACCAAATTTTAACAAACTATAACATAGAATACTAAAAACTAAGATTTGGAACATCTATTTCCATTATTCTGAAGGAAAATATAAATACCTTCAAAACCCTACCAACAGTTTCTAGTCAAAATTTCTATCACGACAAAGTAAAATTCCTTATGGTACTAAATAGAATTAAAAAGTTAACAGAAGACTAGAGAACCAAAATATAAACAGTGTAACTAACCAAAACAATCCACGGGTGCAACAAGTACTTGAACAACGAAAAAACCACCAAACATTCTAATTAATGATAAAGTTCATTTTTTGCATATTTTAATCTTGACTTTTAGCACAGTAAATTATTATATAGGTTGATTTCATGGACTGTTTTAATTTTGTACCATTACATAAGTAATTCAAACATTACTCTTTCTAAACCAAATCTGCTGTTCTAATCACCATTTTTTTTTTTTTTCAGGAAAAGGAAAGGGTATCAGTTTAAGATACATTCCATAGCAGTAGAAACATCTTAGTGTTCCAAAATGTTTACAAAGAACCCTGCTGATCCTGTGCATTTCGTTGAGGCGCTACCTGCACCCAGACTTCATCATCGGAAAAAGAACTTGAACTTCCCGACTCAGAGTCTAGCTCACTGAATCCATCTAAGTCCCATTCGGTACTAGACTCACTCCGTGCATCATCTTCCTCGGTGATGAAACTCTGACCAGGTTCAAGGCAAGAAGGATAAACACGAGCACAGAGGCAAATAAAGCCAGAGTCAAACTGCAAAAGACCTAACATGGTACCTATATTAATCCACAAGTCTTCCCTAGTATCATATTCATACACGGTCACTCGGTTCTTTTTCCATTGCGGAGTGGTAGAAGTGATGAGGAGCAACTTTTGGCCATGATTGACAATCTGATAGTTGTGAGTCTCTGAGTCCAACGGAATATTACTAATCCTCCGCCATTCTCCCCTGGCTGGGTTGTAGACCTTCATGACCGGGATGTCACAGATACAATAGATCTCATCATTGAAGACACAGGCTTCCTGAAAGTCACTACGTTTAAGAGAAGCACAGTTCAACCACATATTGTGGCTAGGATCGTAGCAGAGCATGCGCTTACTATTCACAGCGTAAAGGTAGTTCTGAACCACTATTAGTTCGAAGGAATAAAAAGAGTGGGGTACAGGAGCCACCAGTGCCCACTGGTTCCTCTGAACACTGTAGCATTCCACTTCCTTCAGTTTAACTCCGGTGATAGGGTCTCGCCCACCCAGGATGTAAATGTAGCCATTGAGGTATGCCACATCCATGCCCTCGCGGCACAGCAAGCGATCTGCCAGCTGCTGCCAACTGTTCTGCGCTGGTTTATACACCCAGAGGTCTTTCCTGGGCTGGGCAGCGAGATAGATGTCGTGGTCGGGAGAGACACAGACTGCTGAGGAGGTGACAGTCTTCGTGTGAGCCAAGCTAGTCAAAGGTGAGGGCATTGTGTAAATGTCCCCTGAGTATGGGTCATAGCAGAGAAAGGGATCTCTGGGATGTCCAAAGAAAACCACCATTTCCTTGGCACACACACCCAGCCTCTGGGGTGGATTTTCCGCTGCGGATACAACAGAGCTGCTGCTGCACTCTGGCTTTGGCACCAGAGACTTGTACAGCATGTCACCATATCGCATCTGCAGGGCCCCTTCAATCAGGTCCAGACAGTACTTTTTCACGATGGGTTTGGTCAACAGCCCTTCCAGGTAATCCTGATCTTCATCGCTGAAGTGTGCCCAGCGGACGCACTTGAAGACTTCGGCAGCGCTGGGACCCCGCTCCTTGGGAGCCGCCTCCAACCACTGCACGGCCACGTGACACACTGTTTGCTCACTCTCGATGTCTAGACTGTCCAGGCGCAGCACGGCCAGTAGCTGGGCCAAGGTCAGATCTGCCAGAGTTTCCTCCCGAATCGAACCCATCCGGCTGAGCTGCTTGAAGTTGTGGGCTATGAAGGACTGCGCTTGTGATCGCAGCTTACGATGGCCGAAGGCGTCGGCGAACTTGAAGATGGCGGTGCAGTTGGCCAGGTCAAGGCGGCGGGCCAGGAAGGAGGCACAGGCCTCCCGCACGTACTCCAGCTGCAGCATGTCGGACGCCGCGTAAAGGCGCTGCACGTTGGCCTCACTAAGCGAAACGCGACCCGTGTAGCAGTATTCGACCAGCACCTCGAAGGACTCGGCATCCACGTCGTGCATGGTCACGTTCGCCTGCTGGCTCTCGTACATGCCGCCGGTGAACATGCTCTTGAAGTAGGGACACGCGGCAGCCAGCACGTTACGGTTGCAGGGGAAGAGGCGGCCCGTGCCAGGCCCGCTGCCAGGCGTCACCACCTCGATGGTCACATCGCACAGCAGCCGCGCGTCGTAGAAGGACTTGAGCTGTGCCAGCAGCGCTGCAGAGTGGGCCGTGTCCTTCAGCTCCTCGGGGCCCGTGAAAAAGGCCGACACCGAGGGCTTGTGAATCCTCTTGGGCCGTTTCCCACCACGGGGGCTGGCGAGGCGGCGAGAGCGCGGAGCGTCTTCCCGGGACTGCATGGTGGAGATGGCGGCGGGGCGCTGAAGGCGAGAACGGGTGCAAGGACCCGGCTATGGCTCCTCCTCACCAGGCTCTCGCTGGCGCAAAGATAACGGTATCTCCGGAGAGACGTCCGCACGAGTCCATTTACCTAAGGGAGCCGTGTGCCAAGGTGCCGCTCTCTTTACGGCATAGACAGCGTCTGACTCACCCTCTCCCAGTTCCGCGCCCTTTCTCCGCCTCGGCTCGCCCTCAGAGAACCCGCTGGCAGGAACCGAGAGCCGCTACTGCTGCGCTGGCAATACCGGTAGGTATCCTGAACTACGACTCCCAGGATGCCTTGCGAGCCCCGAGGCATGCCGGGGCCCTCTAGACTGGGCGTAAACTGAACAGCAGAAGCCGCTTTGCATTTTGGGAGTAGTAGTTTGAGTAATATCGCGAGGTTTCTTGCGGGTGGACTGCTTTAACAGAATCAGAAAGCGTTAATTCTCGACTTGGTTTAAAGCTTTGTCTTTGAAATCCAGAGTAGAAGCCCCGTTTAAGTATTCATTAATTATGTGATATTCATTAATTATGTGAGAACTTTTTCCTCTTTGTAAAATGGGAATGATAGTATTCATAGGATTGTGTTTGGATGGAATGAGATAAATTACATAGGATATAGGAAGCTTTCAATAAATATTTTGTTAGAACAATAATTAAGTGCTTACATCGTGCCTAGTACATAAAGATTCAATCATCCTTAGCTTTTACTGTAGAATTTATTAAAAATGAGACACCCCTTTACTGAAACCATGAGCTATTTCTGCAAAGAAAACTTCTAGTTTTTGATGTTGCTTTTTTTTTGAAAGGTTCTGAAGGGTATTACAATAGTTTCAATACTAAACGATATCTATAGGTTCATTAAGACGTCTTAGACAAAAATCAGGACCTAAAGAACAGCCATTATAGATGGCCTCAAATATGCAAATCATGCATTTAAATAGATAGGTTGGTATCTCACCAAATCAACACTTTGTCTCCTGGGTAGCCAGATTATTTTCATAGCCTCTTAATATGAGTGTTTTCAAGTAGTCTCATACTGCTCCTTTCACTTCATTTTCACAAATCAGTTGAAAATTCAGGAATTGTTTTTATTAAGAGGTTTTTGTTTGTTTTTTATATTGGCATACAGTGGGTAGAGGTCAAGCAAGTTGCTACACATGCTACAATGCATAAGACAATAAAAACTATCTGGCCCAAGAAGAGCTTTTAATGAGAGTTTTAAATTAAAATATTTAAAGAAACAGACCTTGCACAAAAGCACAAGATCCTCACAGCTCAGTATTCATACATGCCCTGACATTTCTTAAATTTACATAGTAGAATCGATGCTTTACAAGTGTTGAAATATACACATAGATACATATAGATCAACATCATCTGCTAAATTGTCAAAATCAAGTGATTAGAGATTTCTTTTTAGTAGGAAACTTTAAAAACCAGACTGCTCCAGCTACTGGTTTGCCATGTGTTACCATTACCTAATGAATGAAATGTTTAATATTACACAAATAGGTGGATAATACATAGGAGGAGAATAACTCTCAAATTCTTTGTCTCTCTTTTCCTTCTAGCTGAAGTGGGTCTACTGGAAATACTCCAGGAAAGAGACATTAAACTAAGTGGGGCTCTGGGTTCCAATATCTTCTCTGTACCTCTGTTAGGCATCCTTCAGATATACCAGAGAGAATTAAGTCATTAGTAACGCTGATTGCTTTCTCACCTGCACTAAACACCATTTCTTTGACATTAAGTACATTTACACTGTTTTGCAACCATCACCACCATCCATCTCCAAAACTCTTTTCATCTGCAGAACTCCTGCAAAACCGAAACGCCGTACCCATTCACAATAACTCACCTTTCCCCATCTCCCAAACCCCTGGTAACCACCATTCTACTTTGTCTCTTTGAATTTGACTACTCTAGGTACCTCATACAAATTCGGTGATTGATTTTTAGCTTCCTTATATTTGCCTAAGCTTTGTTATTTGGTTTAGATTACCTTTCACAGAACCTAAAATATTTAGTAGACACTGTGCCCATAAGGCACAAAGCAGTGCTCTCACAAAACTTTCTGAGATATGCAAATATTTTCTACCTGCCCTGATATAGTGCCCAGAAGCCACCTGTAGCTCTTCAGTACCTGAAATGTGGCTACTGCAACTGAGGAACTGAATTTAAATTTTTAGAAACACAGCATTGGTATCAATGGAGAAAGAAGTCTTTTCAACAAATGGTGTTGAAACAACTGAACCACAATGTGAAAAAAATATTAATCTTGACCTCTACCTTATTCCATAAACAAAAATTAATTTGAAATGGATCTTAATATTAAACAGAAGAGCAGAATCTATAAAGCTTCTAAAAGAAAACATAGAAGACTACCTCTGTGATTCTGAGGTAGGCAAAGATTTCTTAGGACACAGAAAACACTAAAGTTAAAAAAAGAGTGATAAAATTAACTTCGACAAGATTATAAGCTTTGCCCATCAAAAAGCAGTGGAAACAAAATAAAAAGGCAAGCCATAGACTGGAAAAAAATATTCATAATACATACAGCCAATGGCCAATACATGAAAAGCTACTCAATTTCATCATCGATGAATGCAAATTTAATTCACGATGAGAAAACACTGCACGCACACTAGAATGGCTAAGCTTAAAAAGATCAACAATACCAAATGTTGGTGATGATAGCCATTGGAACCTTCATATATTAATAATGGGAATGTAAACTGGTATGTCCCCTTAAAAAACCTGGTAGTTTCTTTGAATGTTATACTCTCAATAATTTCACTCCTATGCATTTGCCCAAGGGGAATTAAAACATATGTCCAGAAAAAGATTTGTACAAGAATGTTCATTGTAGTTTTATCCATATTAGCCCTCGAATGGAAACAATCCATTTGTGCATCAATAGGAGAATGAAAAAAATTAATGTGGTATATACAGCATGCAACAATGTAAATGAGTTTCAAAAATTTTATGTTGAACAAAAGAGGCCAGACGTACAAGAGTACGTACTGTATGACCATCTATGTAAAGTTCCAGAACAGTGAAAACAAGCCGTGGTAAATAAAAATCATAACAGAGGCTGCCACTGTTGCGGGGAGAGGGGGTTGGTGGATTTCTGGATTGACTGCAAAGGAATACAAGGAAACTTTCAGGGGCGATGGAAATGTTCTCTTCTTGATTGGGCTGATTTGTCAGTTGGATACCTTACATAAATACATTACATAAATGTATGCAATTGACAAATTCAATGAACTGTCTCCTAAAATCTGTGCATTTAATTTACTGTAAATTATACCTGCTTTTAAGAGGAGCCACTTCATAATTGCTGGCACTAAAATAAAGGTGCAGAATTCTTTGCCAGGAAATCGTGAAGATAGTTCAGTCATAAACTAAGACTCACCTCATGTAGAGGTGTATAGACCAACAATGCTCCAATTCTCAGTAGGTGTGGCTGGTGCTCCGTGTACACCTGGGACAGGGGTACATCTGGACAATCTTTGAGGATTTCAGCATAATGGAGTTTTTCAAATTTGTAGAGTTAGCTGAGTGCCCTACGTTACGTTCCAATATTCTTTTATTCCTAACACAACTTTATTAACATCATACTACTTACTTGTGTTTGCTCAAAATCTCTCATGATCCTCTACAATCGAATCCATATTCTTCTTGGCAGAAAGATAAAAAAGCTATTTTTGCCTGGTAATTAAGTCTCTCTCGGTCATCAACAAACTATGATTTCAATTCTTCAAAAATCTTTAACTTCAACTCTGTTTGTGAATCTTTCCAACATCGGCGCCTACTTAGGCCCTTTTTCTTCTGAGGAAGCTAAGGTATCTCACTGGTATTGCCACCATTTCCATTTCTGGGTGACTCCAACATTTTTCTTTTGTAGATCACACATCTTTCGTGGGGCGGCCCCTCTCATCTTCCCCTCTGCATATTGCTCCTGATTGGCTTCTTGAAGTTCTGTTTCTGCACATTGGTTTCCATGTATTTGAGTACTCTGCTTTCTGGAACCCATACATCTCGGTTTTTATTCCAACCACTGTAATATGCAAAGTATTTAACTTGTTTGTCCTTTATGAAAATCTTTACACACTTTGCCTCATAAAGAAGGTGCCCATGAATGCACAGCACCCGTTCGCCCTCCCGGAATTTAGATTTCGGCGCCATTTTTAAGAGATTCTCTACCACCATCTTCTCCCACCTGAGGTGAATGCTGCCTCCACTCTCCACCTCACCGACTCAGGTCAGGCGTGTGTCAGGTGCCGCCTGAAAGCTGGGCTCCATCATGTTGTTTTTCACTCTGATTTTTAAGTAGAGTCTACAAACTATTTACTCCTTTATATCTATATCCAAAATGACCCTTGCTGCCTTTAGTTGTTGGTGGCCAGAGTTTTTACGGGTCTACTCTCACTCAGTCGGAGAATGCCTAGTGAGTGAGCTGCCCTGGGCATCATTTCTGTTCCACATTATTTAGTGTCAGCTAACTTGTTTCAAACCTGTTAAATGCTTTAAAAGTGTTTTACACTTATTGTTAAAAAGCTTTGAAGTATACATATGTACAGAAAAGGGAACAAATCAAAATCGTAAATGCAATGAATTATCACAAAATAAATACACTCGTGTAACCTCCATTCTGGTCAACAGACCATTCCCAGCATTCCAGAAGCCCGGCCCCAGCACATGTCCTCCTAATCGCTACTGCCTCCAATGTGAGTCATATGCTTTTTAAAATAATTTTTAAGTTTTTATTGGTTATGTTTGTTGAATCCTTGACTCAGTTTCAAAATTGATTTGAAAATATCTCTAAAAGTTATTTTTTAAAGTTTGTTATTCCTTGATATTTTAATGTGCACGAGGCAGGAAACTTTTTTTTGGTTTGATTGATTGAGGCAATAAGCTTTAGCTTTCCAGATCTTTTACAAGAATGCTGATTTATCTTTGGCTTATATGGCCATTCCTAACATTTTTCTACTAACAGTTAAAAGATGTCAAGTTTATCTTTGTGGTGGGAAGACTAATAAGTCTACCTGAATGAAGCAGAATTATGAGTTTAATTGAATCTGTGTACAAAAATAAAATGTATAACAACTGAAAGTACTCATCAATTGAATAATACAGGTCTTGGTCTTCACTGCTCCAAGTGTTGTTTGTGGGTCAGCAGTATCCATCATCACCTGGTCTTGTTAGAAATGCAGAATCACAGGTTCCAGACCTACTGAATAAAAATCTGCATAATAGCAAGATCCCTGAGAGATTCTGTATATACTGTATACAGAAATTTGAGAAAAACTCAAGGTGGGGGTGATCTAAGTTCCTCGTTGCCCCAGCGCTGCTGGGGGGACCTCAGTCCTTTCTGATGATACAGTAGAGTTACAGATCAGCGAAGTTTAGAAAAGTTTTACTGAAGTGCATTTCAAGAGAGAAATGGGCTACACCTGAGAGGGCTGTAGCCTTGTAGAGGTGGGGACGTGTGTCTTATAACTGGGTGGTTACAAGGGTAGTGCTAGCTGATTGGTGTGTGAGGTCATTCTGATTGACAGTTGGCTGTTACATAACCTATTAACTGCGCATGTTCCTTCCCAGAATTCGGTGTTACAATTAGATTCATGAACATCCGGGCATATGCATGACATTAAATGATGGTCTAATGAGGCTGGGGTGAAAAGGTCAGAGTACTCCTAACTGCACAAGCGTTTGTGGCTAGCCTAAACTGGTTGCTATGCTATGGCCATTTATTTCCTTGGACTCCAGGATGTAGGGGTATTGGTATTTGAAAAATGAATTTTCTTCTGGGAGGGCTGAGGGGCAGGCCTTTTGGGTTGGGCCCTCACTGTTGTCGTTTCTATGGTTACAGAGCTGGGTCTTCTCTCCCGTCACACATGGCTACCTAACCACCTAACAGCACCATCTGAGATTTTGGTAGGTTCATAGCTCCATCACTGTTTTGACTTCTTTTTCCTCAAAATACATTGTGCTTTAAGGAAAAGCTGAGGGACGAAGGAAGGGCAGAAATCTTGGTGGCTGTATTAAGATGGAGCCTCTGTTTGGCTGAAGAAGCGCTTTCTCTTTGTCCTCTCCCCCTTACAGGCTTCCCTTTGGCATGTAGAAAATGTTTACACTGATCCCCAAATGAATGAACAGTAACAAATCAATGCCCCTCTCTCTTGCTTTCTCTCTTACAATTTTCACTTTTTTTTTTTTTTTTTGCAAAGATCATGTTTTAGGATTTATTATTTAGTGTTTTTTTCTGGAAAAAGTACAATTATAAAAAATTTTAAGTGCAGTTGATATACATTATATTGGTTATATTAGTTTCAAGCATACAGTATAGTGACTTGACATTTTTATATCTTACAATGTGATCATGCCACTAATTCCAGTAACCATCTGTCACTGTGCAAACTTATCACAATATTATTGACTATATTCCTTGTTGGAATATTGAAAAGTTGCGGATCTCGTAACACTGCTCCAAAATATTTCAGCATATCTTAAGAATATTTTCTTACAAAACTATAAATCCATCACCATACCTAATTGTATAAAATAACTGTACAATATGATCTAATAGTTACTACACATTAAGCTTTCTTCCATTATCCCCAAAATGTCTTTTTTTTTTTTTTTTTTAAGATATTTTTGTTAGTTTTTTCCAATTCAGGATCCAACCAAGATTCACATATTTTGGTTGTATTTCTTTTAGTTTTTGGATTAATCCTCCAACATTTGGGAGATTAATTTCCACATGACACTGACCTTTTGAAGAGTCCTACAAGACTGCTTTGTAAAATGGCCTACCTTCTGGAATTGCCTGGCTGCTTCCTCATGCTGTTGCTAACTTTCATCCATCTCCACAATGTACTATAAAGTAAAATTAAGTCTAAAGATTAAATTGTATTAAAACATTTGGCCAGACTACTCTATAGATAATAGGAAATTCATACTGTATCATGTCAGGAAGCTCTATTACTGATGCTAAGTATGGTAACTCAAATCTCTCCATTGTAATGGCACGTTTCCCCTAATAATTAGTATGCAATCTGTGGGGAAATACTTTGCATTGAATTAACATTCGGTTCCTCACAGTGCTAGGCAGCTTCTGAGATGACCCCAGTGATCCCTGCTCCTGGCATTCATGCACTTGTGTAATCTGCATTAACTAGTCTTTTCTGGCATATAGTTCCTCTCTGAGGAATGTCTAAAGTAAGAACCCCTCTTTTTCACCCAGAAACTTCCTGAGAACAATTACTATTGTACTTTTTTATTTTTATTATTTTTGGCAAGGCAACCCTTGGTTGACCTCACAGATTGCAAAGACCTTGTCAGCTTACAATCCCTTATTTTTTTGTTTTTTATGCCTACAGCACCTGGTCTTCCGAGGTGGTCTCCCATCCAAGTACTAACCAGGCCCGACCTTGCTTAGCTTCCGAGATCAGACAGAATTGAGCTTGTTCCGGGTAGCATGGCCGTGGACCCTAACTATTGTACTTTTATCCGTGGTTTCACTTTCTACGGTTTCACTTACCCGCGGTCAACAGTGGTCTGAAAATAACAGTACATGGAAAATTCCAGAAATAAACAATAAGTTTTAAATTGTGCACTGTTCTGAGTAGCGTAATGAAATCTTGAGCCATCCCACTCAGTCCTGCCAGGACATGAAGCATCCCTTTGTCTAGCATCTCCATGCTGTATATGCTCCCCCACCATTAGTCACTCGGTAGCTGTCCAGGTTATCAGATCAGCTGTCAAGGCATCTCAGTGCTTGAGTTCAAGTCACCCTTATTGTAGCCCAACACTACGCCACGATGCCTACGTTATTCAACTCACTTCATCTCATCACGTAGCCAACTGTATCATCTCACATCTTCCCAAGAAGGGTGAGTACAGCACTATATTTCAAGAGACCATTTTATATAACTTTTATTACAGTATATTCTTATGATTTTCCTATTTTATTATTAGTTTTTAATGTCTTACTGTGTTTAATTCATAAATTAAACTTTTTCATAGGTATATATATATAGGAAAAAACAGCATATATAGTTAAGTCCTCACTTAACATCATTGATAGGTCCTTGAAAACTGCAACTTTAAGTGAAATGACATATAAGAAAACCAATTTTACCGAAGGTTAATTGATGTAAATAAGACTTAAGTTTCTAGAGCAGATTTCTGGTCACAAAAACATCACTAAACGCCTAAATAAAGACTCAAAACACTTCTAATGTTAAATATTGAAATAAATATGAGCAGTACACGCATTTAAAAAAGATGAAAAACAAGAGAGATCATTATTTTCCACCCTGCTTAGTTCAGGTCAGGGTCAAGTGCAGCCAGAGCCCATCCTGGCAGCACAGGGAGCAAGGCAGGCACCCACCCTGGACACACTTCCATGACAAGGCCACCCACACTCACCCAGACTGGAACAATTTAGACAAACCAATTCACCTCACATGTACATCTTTGGGACATGGGAGGAAACTGGAGTCCCCAGAGAAAACCCACACAGACGTGGGGAGAACATGATCAAACAATACTTTGTTTTTAAATAGGGATTTACGAAGTTTATAAATCTCACTAAATTTTACCATGTTATAATGTCCTGAGGTAATAGATGAAAATGTTTAATTTATAGATGGTTTTTTAAAAGGCATATAAATAGAACTAGCGACCTGTTCTACATCACATAATTCTCGAAACTTACTCTTTTCAACGATTCATGCTTGTTCTCTACTTGAAGAGTTGGACTGCAGTTTACAGGAAACCTAGAATAATCTCTTCGGTCAAGAAATGTGTTTAGATTTATTTAAAAATACATTAGTAAGTACGTGTTTTTAGCTATACTTTATGAACATTCACAAAGATTCCCACGCCTCAGTTTGCTTCTTGACGCAGGTCCGTTTCATTTATGTAATAATAAATAATAAATCCGCATTCACTTTGCCGATTTAAGGTTTTCATCCAACAATTCAATAATGGCTTCTTCATCTGCTGACTGAAGCAGTGTCTGAATTAGCTGATCCAGGCACTTCTCCCCACATAAAAATCTCTGATAAAAAGAGAGAGTTATTACTAGAAAGAAAGTATAAATGAAGCAAAGAATCAAGCATATATTTATGTCATTTCTTTATAGTCGTTATTTAATAGCAACAAAGGATTACTGATTACCAATGTAATGACCATAATTACTAATATAATGAACACGATTCCTAAATTGAGAGGATCCCCAGTTAGCATTGGCTTTTTCTGTAAAAAGTGAATCCAAAAGAGTCAATTGGAATTATACTCTATCTTAATCTTAATTGTTAAAATTAGCACTTTGTTTAAAATCAATCTGGTAGGATCTGGATCCTTCCAATAACTCTGGAGAGAATAAAACTGAGATCTGAATCGGCTTTTGAAATTCACCACCTCTCTCTCTACAATGCCTTTGCTTGACTTTCCTGCCAACACAGTTCTAAGTTCTCGAACTATCTTTGGGAGGATATGTTTGCTGAATCTTTTCTTCTCCTGTACCCTAGAATAAAATAAGGCTTTTTATTTTTGTCCTGAAAAATTCCACCCTTTTCATTCACATCACGTTATTTCACGAGCACAAAAAAGACTGAAATGTCCCAAAGCCCCAGGCATCCTGCAGCCAGGTTATTGTGCAGACTGACACCCACATACCAAATTCTCTGGACCCGGCTCAGATAAAGCCCCCCCGGAACATTCCAGCTCACTCTTATGCCAAACCTCCCGATATAAATTATTTAATCCATAAGTGGTTCATGATAATTCTGTTTTTTTTTTTTTCTTGAATTGGAAATATAGTTTTAAAATCTAAAAGTCCTGTGTAATAGAAAAATATTCATGCTGGAATATTTAAGGGACAAGCGTCTTGAAGTGTGCAACCTGCCTGCCCATGGTTCAATAGCAACACAGGTGTATAGAGACGGAGAAAGAGGAGGTGGAGGAGGAGACAGCAGAGCAAAACGTTAACGACTGTTGCATCTACGTACAGGGTGCATCCTGAACTCGTCTTTAAACATGAGTGCTTGAAAATTTCAAAATAAAAAGTTCAGAAAAAAAATTTCTCTCATGTTAACCTCCAATTAATTCCACTGAATGAACACCGTTTCAGTTTGGCCTCCCTGCAGTCTTCCCTAAAATTCCTGAGAAATGACTAAAATCACGACTCCAAGTACCTTTCTGTGTGGCAGAAGTTCTGGGTAATATTGTTGCTGGGATTAGCCGCTCTCACATGTGAGAGATGCTCAGAATCCAGACACTGGCTTAACAGAATCTTTAATGTCTGCATCAGAACATTTAAAGTTTTGACGTAGGCATCAAACGGAACACAGAACATTTGAAGTTTTGATGTAGGGCATAACTAATCTTTTATTTAGTCTTTCTTGAATGGTCTTAAAGTTGCATTTCAGGTTAAGTGTACACATTTATCTCTCCAGTTAAACTATAAGGAAAAAGATATGACTTACTATCTTTGTTTTCCATAAAACACCAGCATACAGTAAAACCTAATTAAACTTTAAAATTAAACGGAAAACAAAAGCACTATAATGGAAATTTTAAATTAAGATTTATAACATTTTGAGCATGATATGAAAATTGCTTATAAAATGAGTATGCCAGAAGCTCAATTATGGTACTGCCAAGGTGACTTAATCATTTGGAAATTATGTGACAAGAATTAGTACTCTTATTGATAATCGCATCACATTCACAGTTCAATCGGATTAATCTGAGTGCTAGAGATAAAAAAAAAAATCAGAGATGAAGGAGTTATCGTTCCTACCTTTCAGAAGCTCATAATTTAAAGGGAGAGCTAGGCAATATATGAGCATCATAATACAGTGCAAGAAATTTAAAAATAAAGAAGAAAGTGAGGGTTGTAAGGGAGCCATTGACTTTGACAAGAAGGTGGCATCAAGGAAGCGTTCATGAAGGAAGAAACGTTTGAAATACTATTCTCTTTTTAAAAAGAGAATAGAAATAAGCAGAGCATTTTAGTCAAAAGAATGAGTATGAAGAAAGGCCTGGATATAAAGCACATATGACTCTTGAACAACATGGGTTTGAACTGTGTGGGCCCACCTATATGTGGCTCTTTTTCAATAAATATACTGCAAAATTTTTTTGAGATTTGCTACAATTTGGAAAAAACTCAGATGAACCTTACGATTTTCTCAACAACATTTTCTTTTCTCTAGCTTCCATGACTGGAAGCACACAGTAAATACTACACATGCTGTGTACTGTAAGTCCATCGACTGTGTTATCGGTGAGGCTCCGGTCAACAGCAGGCTGTTGGTGGGTCAGCAGCCCCAAACCCTGCGTTGTCCAAGGGTCAAGTGAGCATTTAAACCCCAAGACAAGGGGAAATCTCCAGTGTAATTGGAGTATAGGGCAGGAGACAGGCTGATGCTAAGGAATCTGCACAAGGACTTTGAGAAACAATATAAATACAAATCAATATGTTACATGGCAGTCTGTGCTTATTATGTAGATAAATAAAAATAAAATTACCTACAAGAGAGTTCATAAGAATACTGGGTGACCTCCTAGACCCCGTGGATAGGATGCACAGGGCTGCCGACGCCACCCCGGGGATGAAGCTGGGCCTCAGGGATAAATGTGTGTGGGGTTCACATCATCAGCATTCCTTCCATCCAGTTCTCATTTTTGATCCTTTCAATATATCCGCTTCATTGTTCTCTCACTGAAGACTGCCTTCTCCCATGGCTGGAAATGTGGCTTCCACCCCTTGTAAGACTGACATATTTCAGCTTTCGCCACTGAGAGAGGATGGCCCTCTTTGTCTCCAGTTTAAAAGTCCTGGGAAGAACTCATTGGCTAGGGCTTGTCCAGACTTTCTTCCCCGCAAAATCAATTATTGTCTTGGGTCAGGATCATGATCACATGAGCTTATAGCAGTTCCATGAGGAGCTATGTGGACGGTATAGGGAGAAGGAGGAGGGTCTAGAATAATAATGAGAGAGCAGAGTCCCCCAGACGGCCACTTTCTCCCCTCTCCACCCATTCCACTCTGTCCTACAGCAGCTGCCCTGGGTCAAGGCCCTTATCACTTTTCTTGTCTCCTCTACAACTAATCAGTTACTAAACTTCCGTTCCTAAACTAGTCTCTTTATTGTCCTATATACAGATTTTAATGTTTTACTACATTTGTTTCATACCATTTTAAAACTTTTCCCTTGAACTAATATGAAATGTTTTTCTTTCTTTTCAATAAGTTGAGTGATGATTATCAGAGCATACCAATATGATTTTCCTTATCATTTCTGAGTCTGGCGTGCTGGTTTAGGTAGTAATAACATGTTAGTTAGTATTCAGGCCGAAGTCAGATATTTTATAACCATAAAAGCCAGTCAATCTGCCTGTTTCATGACTGAGCACCATACTGAGCACCTATGCGCCCTTCTGAAAAATATTACTGGTCAGAAGAATGTCACACACAGTCTCATGGGAAACCATCACCTCTACTGGAAAAACAACTGAAAGATTATGGTGTAATTAGTGCACTATGGCCACACATGTTTGGTTATTACTGTGTTTCCTCAGGAAAAGGAAATGAGCAAATATGTTCTCCTTCTCGACAAGGCAATTATGTTCCTATGCAAGACAGCCTTAAACTGCTGAGAAGACAAGAGGAAATGACATAAGATAAACAGAAATTTCTAAACACATTAAAAACGCAGACATTTCCCTTGTAAAACCAGGACTTTAATTTTGAATACAGCATGGGACAGAATCAAGTGAAAGAAGCCATAGGCATCTCAAGGCACCAAGAAAGGATCACAGCCTGCCTCCGGCTTTCTCCACGGCCTTTTATGGGAGCCGGTTCACTTCCCCCTCAGTGGAGGCAAACAGAGATCTTTCTATGCTTCATCACTAACGTGCTAGTATTAGTGGTTCTGGCTAGATGGGATTTAGTTAGGTTAATGTTCAAACCCCATCGACAGGGCCTTTCCCCCAACAGCATCATTGTCACACCTCACCCTGATGATGATACGTGCAGCAGGCAGAAATCCACGGTGCTCCTTGCGTGATTCCCTCCCCCGAGTGCAGGCAGAAGCTGTGACTACGACAGAGTATCACTCCAGTGATCTGGAGACTCTGATTAACTCGCTGACTCTGAGTTAATCAAAAGGAATATTATCCACATGGGCCTGAGCTAAGCGAGTAAGCTCCTTAGAAGGCCGGAGCCATTCCTGCAAGAGACCCAAGGTGGGAGGAGGCCCATGGACGACCACAGAACGAGCACGTACGGGCTGTCTCGAGGAGCTGAGAGCAGCATCCAGCCCTCAGCCACAAGGGAATGGGAGCCTCGCTCCTACGACTCAAGGGAATGGAATTCCGCCAGCACCCAGAACGAGCCTGAGGACTCCAAGCTCCAGAAAGGCACGTGGCCTCGCGAGACCTGGAGCAGCGAACTCGGCCCTGTCATGCCCAGATTCCTGCCCTATGGCAACCGTGAGATAACGAACAGGTACCATTGTAAGACACTAAGTTTGCGGTCATCTGTTTCGCAGCAGTGGAAACGGACACGCATCTATCTATGTGCAGTCGCATGCTGCATAACAACGTTTCGGTCAATGGCAAACCGCATGAATAATGGTGGTCCCGTAAGATTATAATGGAGCTGAAAAATTCCTATCGCCTAGCGACATCCTAATGTCATAGTCACTGTAAGGTCATACATAGCACAACACATTACTTATGTGTTTGTGGTGAGGCTGGTATAAACAAACCTACTGTGCTGTACAGTACATGAGGCTTGATAATAATAATAAATGACTATGTTACTGGTTTATGTATTTACTGTAGCATACTTTTTATTATTTTACGATGTACTCTTTCTTCTTGTAAAAAAAAATGTCTGCTATAAAAGTGTGTGTTACAGTGGCAGCAGCCTCATGTGCTGCATATTTACTGCGTCTCTTGATTGTGTCATTTTCTCGGGCGTTTGATTTAATCCCATGTTTTGTACAGTGAATACTATACAGGCTTTTGGCCTAGGAGCAACGGACTGTACCTTACAGCGCAGGTGTGCAGTAGGCCAGACCACCTAGGTTTGGTAAGGGCACTATCATGTTGACACAATGATGAAATCTCTTAACGATGCATTTCTCAGAACGTATCCCATCCCCATGGCTAAGCGGTACATGGCTGTTTTGCAAACAAATTAACACATTAATGAGAATCTGGAATTTAAAAGATAACTGTTTCGAACTGGCAAAAAGACCACATTTCTTACCAGCAAACTAATAAAAATGCCTGCAAATTTTAGGGTACTAAAAAACTGGCTTAATGATTTTAAATTACTCAGTATTATTTTAGACATTACTCTCTAGAATTTGATTATCCTGCCTTCGAAAATCGAAGGTACATAAAGCATACTCAGTGAGGTTACCTTAATGTCACGAACTTCATATGCTATCCTGTGGTCAGTGACTCTATCCTGGGTGAAATTATATGTCCGAATTCTCTCTGACTGGGCTCTCGTTCCCACCTGTGCCATAAGAAAAAATACTTCATTTTTTAACTTTATAGTTATCTTTATTATAATGAAAAAATTACTTGTAAGTGACTTTTCTATTTTAACATTTTAAATATTTCCTAAAGTTATATATAGAAAAATGACAAAAACCAAGAATGATCAGAATTTCATGTTTAAGACAACAGCATTTAAAGCTTAGTTATGGAATGAGAATTTATGTCTCTTTGGTACTTCAAACTCTAAATATACACAGCAAAATTATCTTTCCACCCCAATCAGTTCTTCCTCCTAGTTTCTATAGGCGACACCACAGTGTTCCCTGTGATCCAAGCAGAAAACTCTGACATCCCACAATTTAGTCCACATTTCAAGGTCTCTTACTAACTGCCCGGCTCTGATATAGACACTGAAACCACCTTCATTTCATCCGACGCTCTGCCATTTCCAATGGTTTCAAGAGTCTCTTATTATATTCTGCCCTTTCCAGTTCTACTGCCTGTCATTCAAGGCTCATTACTTTTGAACTTCTACGTTCCTATAAAACCTCCCGTCAGCTTCCACTTCTCTGCTTACATTGTGTTGCTCTGCTTACTCTTCCTAAAGCACGGTTTTTTGATAAATTTTCTTCTTTGGTCCCTTGTCTACTACACAAAAGTATAAAAAGACCCCTGGACATTTAGGTGAAAAGGGTAATGTTTAGTTTTATGCAATTGATTATCCTAAAAGAAACACATAATCTTCCAAATTTACCATAGCATACAGATCTGAAAATAACACAAAAGCACGGTTATTTCTGGGGCCTGCTTTCTCTTTCGACCTCTCTCAAAGACAAACTACGTTTTTCAGAATTTAAAATCATACAACACTTTGTTAAAACAACGACATTTATTCATTTTGCTTCGAACTTACCTATTTATATGTTTGGATAAATAATACTGTACATGTATACAGTACGAAATTCAAAAAGTACAGAAGGGTATATCATGGAAAATAAATCTCCCTGTCCCCGGACGCCATCGACAGCAAGCGCTACTGCCAGGTTTTCGCAGTGCCACGCATTTTTTATCACACACAGGTTTTTAAATTCAAAAAATCTAAAAACTTCTTAATTTCCAGAGAATTTCGCACCAGTGTTTTATGCCAATTTCCTCTCAAGACAGTTATGATATAAACACTGGAGAGAAACAACTGGGAAGGAATTTTTCGTTTATGCATATGTTACCCACTTATTTGCAAGCTGGCGTGTCCAATTTTAGCCACAATCCATCAGTCGAAATGCATTTAAATTACTGCTTATTTACAAATGAGCGTGCTTTCCTATGCTCTAAGATATCTTCATTCGGTCAAGAACAAACACTACATTTCCTATATCAGATGATGACTTTTTGTACAGAGGTATTAAGCTGTCACCTCATACATCTTACCTGCAGTTTTCTGGCACTCTGCTGGTGACACCTGTCTTTCTCAATAATCTGCTGGTAGAGTCTTGCTCTCAACACACGCAAAGCTATTTCTTTATTTTTTATCTGTGATCGTTCTTGTTGGCATTCTACTACAAGCCCTGAAAAATAATGGGTCATAGGTAAACGGTAGCTTCCACAAGCCACATTAAGATAGAACTGTGGTATCGATTATATTTCAATAAAACTGGGGGGAAAAAGAGAGAGAACACTGAGGATCATTTTAAAGGTTAATCAGAAAAAGATCACAAAAGATTAAATACATTTTAGTTTTAGCACATTTTGGAAACTACACCTGGATTATGATGGTCATCGTTGGTAGATGACTATTTATATTCTGACATCTAAATGAGGTTATTTCAGATGAGAAGACTGAAAGCAGTAGCATCTGCAGACGGTTACACACGTTCATTCCCAGAGCTCTGCCTCTCTGCATCCTAGCTCATCCGGCTACTTTCACGGCTCAGCAAGGAGCGAACTACCATCTTCCCCTATGCAGTGCTGCTCCTGTCTCTGTCCTACTCAAGGAGAAGTCAGCTTTTCCTCTTTAAATCACAAACACACACAGAGCTGATGTTTTAAAAACAACTTTATATGAGGAAACAAGTCAAAAGGAATGACCAAAACTCTCTCAAAGGAAGGGCTTATAGTGAATGTTTCTCAGTTATCTTGGTTCTAAATCCAGCTGATCAACCCGTCTAACCACACATTTTGGTTAGCCAGCTTCTGGACTGGGGGGGGTTGGCCCACAGTGCAGCCCAAATCTAGCTTGGAATGGTGACCTTTAAAACTTCAAGCTTCTGTTCTTAACTTTGCAGCTACCACCCTGAAGATCTGGGTCCAATCCTGCTCCCAAGTACATTAGAGGTCCAAAGACGTTTATACACATGTTTATACACACACACGCGCACACACACGCACGCATACACATATACATACATACATACCACAAAAACCCCAAACCCAAAACCATATTACCTTTGGCCAGCTGTACTGATAGTGATAACTGTTTTGCTAAAGATTTTTTAAATTCCTATGAAATTCTGCTCTCCAAACTGTGATCTCACCCTGTCTAAATAAGCTACAATCTATAACTGGTACTACTTTTAGCAGGGCACCTAGGTTTCACCTGTTTGTTTAAACTTATTTACTGACTGCTTTACTGCAGCCCCATGTTTGGGCTGGGGCACCAACTCTCTTCCATCTCCCGAGCATCTGACAGGGGGCTGTCTTGAACCTGTCATCCTTTTTTCACCACTCGAAAGAAAACCTACATTTCAGGATGGCAGGCCACTTACAAGCTTTCCTTCAAATTCCTCGTCTTGTCAGCTGACACAGGTGTTTCGTTTAAACACCTGCAGTATCTTATCCAGTGTCTCAGGCTAGAACTTACAGCTTAAAACTCCTACTTATTGGATCAGTAATTCCTAAGGGAATTACTCAATTATATATTTTAATATACTTTCTGTAGAGGACTTTCTTAAAATTAATTAATTGAAGAAATTATTTAAAAATTTTCCCCCCCTAGACTTCCCCCTTCCCCACTACCTTCTGGTAACCACTAGACTATTGTCCATGTCCACGAGTCCGTTTGTTTGTCCGTTTGGTTTTTGCTTTTAAGTTTATATTCCACATATAAGTGATATTATGTGGTTTTCAACTTTTTCTGTCTGGCTTATTTCACTTAGCACGATTATCTCAAGGTCCATCCATGTAAATGGCAGTATTTCATCTCTTCTTATGGCTGAGTAATAATCCATTGTATCTCTGTACCACAGCTTCTTTATCCAATCATCTATTGTAGGACACTTCGGTTGCTTCTATGTCCTGGACACTGTGAATAGTGCTGCTATGAACATCGGGTTGCAAATGCCTATGACTTGAGTTTTCAAGTCTTTGGGGTAAATACCCAGTAGAGGGATTGCTGGATCATATGGTAGATCAATTCTTAGTTTTTTGAGGAACCTCCATATTGTTTTCCATAGTGGTGTACCGATTTGTAGTCCCACCAGCAGTGTATGAGGGTTCCTTTTTCTCCCCATCCTCTCCAACATGTTATTACTTGTCCTGTTGATTACAGCTATTCTGACAGGTATGAGATTGTATCTCATTGTGGTTTTGATTTGCATTTCCCTAATAGCTAGCGATGTTGAGTATCTTTTCAAATATTCGTATGTCCTCTATGAGAAGTGTCTGTTCAAGTCCTCTGCCCATTTTTTGATTGGATTATTTGTGTTTGTTGCTGTTGTTGTTATTGAGTTGTAGGAGTTCTTTGTATATTTTGGGTATTAGGCCTTTATCAGAGGCGTTGCTTGCAAATATATTTTCCCATTTGGATAGTTGTCTCTTTGCCTTGTTGATGGTTTCTTTTGCTGAGCAGAAGCTTTTTAGTTTGATATAGTCCCATTCATTTATTTTTGCTTCTACTTCCCTTGCCTTTGAGGTCAAATTCATTAAATCTGTAGAGGAGTTTTTAATCGCAAGTATTCCCTCAGGAACAGAGTATCAGGTCAGGGAAAATGTATGTTGACTAAGAGAAGAGCTGTTGAACTAAGGTGCCAGGGCTGTTAAAAAAAAAACTAGAAAAGGGATTTAGAAAAATTAAGTCTTTTCAGTTTGTTTCAGTAGTCTACAGGAGATTACAAAATTCTAGCTAGTAATAGTACCAAGTGGGTATTTAATATATATTTGCTGAATTACTACATATATTATTTAAAAGATTTTCAATCATAAATAAAAACAAAAATACCATACTTTTTATCCTTAAAAAAAAAAAAACCATTAAAACTTTTTTAACATCTCTGAAATTGGGATGCATCTTACAATCATTGGCATGTCATAGTTTAACGGGCAGTATTTTCTATATTTCTTCATAGTAATAAAATAGTGATGTGTCTTTCAACGTATGGGTTCTTAGATTAGATGAAATAATTTATATATAATCAAAGGTCAGGCAGAAAATGGAGTCATACAGATGCAGTAGGTTAGAAAAATGTGATTTCGGCGTTCAGGGCCATGGAGGAAGCTGAAGAGGGCCTGGCGCTTCCCACCTTCCATTCCAGTGGGGACGTGGTTCCCACTCTAATGGTCTTGGGATGGAAGAAATAGAAGAAAGGCCGAGTTTTCCTTAGAGCAGATGCTGAAATCATGGCAGAGCTCAAAGTATGAAGAAGCAGACTCAAGAAGTCATTTGCTCATAATGACACGGATTCAGAACAGTAGGCTTCGACATGGCCTACCCAAGGGAAGGTTTGAGGGTAAGCCTTAAGGCCTCTTTTAATCAAAGAACTGGATCTAAATGGCTAAAAAATAATTTGATTCAAGGTAAGTGTGGCAACATAAAACATCAGTCAGTTTTTTGTAAAGTCAGTAATTTATGGCTCCACAGGGTGGTTTTTCTATCATTTAATATGTTTTAAGCAGCGGTCCCTAACCTTTGTGGCACCAGAGACCGGTGCTCCTATGAGAATCTAATGCCTGATGATCTAAGGCGGAGCTGAGGCGGTGATGCTGGCGCTGGGGAGCAGCTGCAGATACAGATGAAGCTTCCCTCGCCCACCGCTCACGTGCTGTGCGGCCCAGTTCCTAAGAGGCCACAAACTTGTACCGATCCGTGGCCTGGGGGTTGGAGACCCCTGTTTTAAAGTATTCTGGTTCATTTTCTCAGAAATCTTACCACCTTTTACTTTTTCTCATTTTAGTTTTTTGTTCATCTTAAGCTAATATTTAGTGTTCTGGAATGCTTATAAATACAGAACAATGTCTCGCAATGTAAGGTGAATTTCTGGATTTCTTGGGGGAAATTATGGTAAGCTAGAAAAATTACAACCTCATTTTGGTGAAAAAGGACATATTTCTATACGCATAGAAAATAATTTGAAAGGATATATACTAACAATGGTTCTTGAGTATGGTTATGGACGTTTTATGTTCTTTTGCTCACGTATATGTTCTAAATTTTTATAATTTCTTAAAGAATAAAAATCAATAAAGAAAACAAGATATTACAAAATTATCCTACTGTTAGATATTTAGGTTGTTTCCACTTCTGCTATTTCAAACAGTACAAGCAATACCAATTGCCAAAAATGAATTTAAAATTTAAAAGTGACATCTGATTTCAAGATGGCCTCCTCTTTTAAAAATTATACTAAAACAAGAACAAGAAACAGAAACACAAATTCCACCTGAAATACAATTAGGTGACATACGTAGTCCCCAAACACAATATATATAGACAGAAAGCAGATGGAAGAATGGTAAATGCCTTAGCAGAGTGCGAGAAGGTGAAACCTAGCTCCCTGTGGAGATGCTGACCAGAAACAAGCCAATCTGCCCTTCTGAGTGCCAGAAAGGCTCAGAGATTGGGGCACCAGGTAGTTCAGAAGTTGGGGTTAAAGATTTGGGGACTAAAACCACAAAGTCTTATAGCAGATCTTCAAGTCTCCTCCCTTAAACTGTAGGAGATGGGAGGTAGTTTTTAGAGAATAGCGAAAATTCCAGACTCGAGACTCGGTACAAAGAAGGGCAAGTATGAAGCATGGGACTAAAAGCAAGAGGATTACGTTTGTTATTGAACGGTAAGACCTTGACCTTACTCTCCAGTGTACCCTGGAGGATCCTTCTCAGGAGAAAAGCACCCAAGAGAAAAGATCTGTAAACACTGGCATTGGGGGACCCATCACAAAAAAGCTGATTAATCACCTAACCGCCCTACAGTGAAACTTACTGGTGGATAAGTGACACCCATGCTCTCAGAGCTTTTAGACGCTCACTCTTAATATGTACAAACAGCCAAGGATTCCTAGACATTTCTGACATGAAAACAAGACTAAAAGAACAGAAAAAAGTAAACCCAGAAGGAACAGAGACATTGCAGGAAGCAGAGGAAAACTTCAGGGAAACAAAAATATACTTAAGCAATAAAAGAAGAAAAATGCTTCAGCAAGATAACAAAAAGATGCTCTGATAAAGGGACAATTCTGAGAATAAAAAACAGCTCTTGAAAATTAAAAAAAAAAGAATTTTTTTTTTAATCCAGTAAGAGTTGAGAAAAAGAACTAAAACACAAAGTAACAGACACATAAGAGGAAAAAGAAGAAAATCAAACCGTAAATCCAAGAGATCTAAAATCTGACTAACAAAAATCCCAGGAAGAACAGAGAAAATGGTAAGAAATTAGTGAAGAAAATATTTTAGAACTGAAGGGCATGAGTCTCCAAACTGAAAGCAACAAATACAATGAATGCCAAAAGCTTTATGTTCCAAGTGGAAATGACTTCCAACAAATGTTCATGATCAATCAAGTATAAGGTTAGAATAAAGCTATTTTTGGAAATACAAAGTCCCCAAATGTTTATGTCTCACGCATCTTTTCTCAGGAGGCCACTTAAAAGATGAGCGTCACTAAAACAAGGGAGTAAACTAAAAGAGATGAGATGGGACCGAAGACACAGGAGGCTTCACCACAAAATACAAATGAAGGGAATCCCTAACTGCTGGTGACCAGGACGGCCTCTGCAACCCTCGAGAGCAACTGGTCCAGACTGGAGCAGGATAACGGAGTGCTTTGTCGGGTGTCATCGCAAAGCATCAGCCCTGTGATGGGAAAGAAAGCTGGAAGTACAAAAGCCAGAGGGCCTTGCTCACCCGTGGGGACGTGGACGAGTCTGACAGCACTATCAGTTGTGTTCACATGCTGCCCCCCTGCTCCTTTGGCGCGAAACGTAGCTATTCGCAAATCCTTGGGGTCCACTTTCACATCTACCTAGAACAAAAATACGATGTAAGTAAATGCTACGCTGGGCAAATACTTTGCTACTTGATTTATTCCAGGATTTTTCGAACGAACTATATTGCTTTGTGTCCTAAGTCATAGCCATTAGACGAACAGGTGAAATAACATATCAAAGAAAGAACCATAAACTCCCTATTCCAATGGATGCTATTTGTTAACACTGACACAGTGTTATTAGATCATTGAGTTATGCAGCCTTTCGAGTTTCATCATCCATCATTCTACGGAGCCACACTGGGTAGAAAATATATATGTGTGCATGTACAAAGTTGATCTTCATTATTCCCTGATTCTGATTTGTAAATTCACCTACTCACTGAAATTGACCGGTTCCACAAAATCCCTGATGGCGGCACTTCCAGTCATTTGCAGACATGCGCAGAGCAGCAAAACATTCGAGCTGCTCTACCCGTGCACGTTCCCAGCTGAGGGCGGACAAGGTCACACCATACTTTCTTGTTACAGTGTGCCCAGAGGATAAAGACAGAAAGGGGCAGGGCAGTATCAGGCAAGAAGCTCTGGGGCCAGCTGGACAGTGTGCGAATCCCAACTCTGGCACATATAAGTGAGGCGGCCTCACAAAAGTCACTTAACATCTTTCTCTTCTGCGAAATAAAAAAAAATAGAATCTGCCAGGATGGGTTGTTCTAAAATTATAATCTATGTATAATATATATGTGCATATATTAACATATACATACAAAATATATATTATATACATATATATTAATTACATATATATATATATTAACACACGTATATACAAAACGTGTGTGTGTGCGCGCGCGCGTGCGCGCGCGCGCATTTCCCCTGGGAATGGTTCAATACTCAGTGTCTGCTGTGACTTTATGGAACATAAGTACTGCGAATAATGAGAAACGCCTGCGTGTGTGTGTGTGTGTGTGTGTGTGTGTGTGAACACGTGCACTCTTATTAATGGACTGAATAGAGGCACTGAAAGATATGTTCATGGTCTAACCACTGGAACTTTATTTGTAAAAAGGGTCTTTGCAGATGTAATTGAGTTAAGATGAGATCAGTCTGCATTATTTGGATAGGCACTAAGTCCAATGACAATTTTCCTTACAAGAGACACCCAGAGGAAAGGGAGGAGGTGAAGGACATGGGAATTCAGAGGAAGAGACTAGAATTGTACAGCTTCAAGCCACGGACACTTGGAGACCCCAGAAGCCAGAAGAGGCAAAGGAGAATTCTCCCCCAGCAGTGAGCATGGCTCTGCCAACACCTCGATTTTGAACTCCTGGCCTCTAGAACTGAGGTAATAAGCTTGGTTGTTTGAAGCCACTGTGTTGTAGTTTGTTAGGGCAACCTTAGAAAACTCTACGCGCGCGTGCGCGCGCGCACACACACACACACACACACACACACACACACACACACACACAAACTTCCTGAGCAGAGCTTCTAAAGCCCTCAGAATTTCCTAAGTGATAAGAGTAAGGGTGTGTAGGTCTTTTATTATTCATAACAAGCCCCTGTCAACTACGACTGAGTTTATGTTAATAAGGTCATTTTTGCAAAGTTCTTAGAGAACGCAGGATGGGAACTGACTGCCAGGAGAACCAACCGTGTGATTACAGGGGTGGAACTTCCAGCTCCACACCCTCTCCCCAGTGGGTGATGATTTAATCAACCATGATGCCACACTGGAGCCTCCATGAAATCCCAGAAGCGCAGGGTTTACAGAGCCTCTGGTGGACTTGCGGAGGTGCAGGGAGGGTGGCAAGCCCAGAGAGGACGTGGAAGCTCTGCACCCCATCCCACATATGGGAGGGTGGCACCCCCGGAGAGGGCTTGGAAGCTCTGCACCTTGTCCCACATACTTTGCTCTATGTGTCTCTTCATCTGGCTATTCCTGAGTTACATCCTTTGCAATAAACTTGTAATCTAGTAAGAAAACTGTTTTCCTGAGTTCTGTGAGCTGGTCTAGCAAATTATCAAACCTGGTGGGGGCGGGAACCCTCCAGTTTATAGGCTGTTGGTCTGAAGCACCGGTAACAACCTGGATTTGCTACTGAAGTGGGAAGAGAGGAAGTCTTGGGCGACCCGGTCCTTAGCCTGTGAGATCTGATGCTAACTCCAAGTAGACAGCACCAGAATTTTATTAAATGGCGGGATACCCACTTAAGTGTCTGCAGAGAACTGGTGAATTGCTTGGTGGGGAAAAAAAATCCACACATTTAGAGTATGAAAGTATTCTGTAAATACACAGAACACACAGGAGTTTTTCCTAGACAATAATATTATAGAATTACATTAGATTTTCACAGATAATGGTATTGAGTTTCTGTAGGTAATGCTGTATTCTTAAGAAATGTAAGTTGAAGACTTGGGGGTTAAAGTCTCATAGTGTCTGCTATATCCTTTACAGTTTGTTAACACACACACACACACACACACACAGAGGGATAAAGCAAATATGGCAAAATATAAACAACTGTTGATTCCCGATGAAGGTTATAAAAGTTTTCAGTGTGGTATTCATGTTTAAAGTAAATTTTAAAAAAGGTTAGGAAAAATAAAAATATAGGAATATGGCTATGTTCAGCTAATAAGATATATCACTGACCTCAAAAGATTATCTGTGGAATTCATTTTTTTCTTAAGCTATAACTCAGGCAATGTTTAAAAAGCTCTGTGGATTCTGTTTTATGAAGAGAAGTGATTTCTATTTAAAATAAAACGAAACATCGTGGTCGGGGAAGCGTTAAGGGATCCCCAGCAGCCATCGGAAAGTTCAGTCTGTAACTCTGAAAATCACAGACTCTCCTAGAAGCCACGGCTTCCAGCATAACACGCATTTACACGGAGTTTTCCGCGCCTCCTGGTGAGGTTACCTCATCGGGTTGAGGGAGGACAATGACTGACATTGTCCCTGTGTGGATACGCTGCATCCTGGATGACAGGCCCACCTCAGGGATGCGCTGAACTCGGTGAATCCCACCTTCATACTTCAAATGCTTAAAGACATGGTCACCGGAAATTCGAGCAGCTGCATGATGTAGCCCACCTAGGAAAAAAAATATCCAGACATATTAATGAATTCCACTTTGAATGGGATCAAGATCTTAAACGCCCTTACTGTAAGGCCTGAATGTGAGTATACAGCCTGAGACGAGAACATAAAGTAGGTAAAAAACTAATGCAAATGTGTTAATATATAAAAGGAAACATACTAAAATATCATTTATGGTTATCTCTGGGGAATAGAACAACAGATTTCTTAATTTTCCTTAATTTTGTACTTTTGTTTCTAAATTTTGTATAAAGAACAACTTTCACTTTTATAAAAATACTATTAGAAAGAAAAGAACACTGGGAGTTTTCTGCACTGAACTACCGTATGCAATCCTAAGCTAACACGCCACGTATAAAAGGATATTCAATAACATAATTTGATAATGACAAATAATGCTATAAATCCTCCCAAGTTTTAGAGAGTTTATTGAAATTTAGCTCTTGCTAATCTGTGGAGTGGGGAAGACTATCACAAAACAAAATCTTAATGTCTAGGCCAGCTTCTTCTGATTGGAATTGTTTTTAAAAATATTTTTATTATACAGTAACATCCAGACATAAAAAACCACGGGAACCAAATGCATGGATTAATGACAAGAGCGTAATAATTTTCTCAATCACCCCAAAGCCCTCCCATACGCCCCTTCCCAGTTGTAATCCCCTCCCTTCCTCAGGAGTAACCATTATCCTGACTTTTATTCTTTTATTTTATTGCCTAAATATGCCACCCTAGGCACTACAGTTTAGTCCTGCTCATTTAAAACAAGTGTGATATGTCTTTGAAATCACTTCATCTATAAGTTCATCATCCATCTCTTTTATTTCCCACCAATTATCGGTCAAGGAACCCGGGTAGAATTTCCCAGTCTGGTTTTGCTGACTGCATACTCTTGGCACAGTTCAACCTGTTCTGCTGCCCTCTGTACTGGCTGCAGTTTGGCAGCTGGATCAGACCCAGCGCGAGCTCCCTGGCAACCACAGGAGGTGCATAATGTCTGGCTGTCTCTCTTTCTCTGGTCTCAACAGCCTTTGATGCTGTCGATACATTAGTATCACGGGGCTGTCAAATGGTGATAGTCTAATTCTATCATTTCTTTCTCCCTTATTAGTCAAAATGCATTTATAAAGAGATATTTCCCCTTGCCCACTATTTGATTACCCAGAGATAGTTATATAGGAAAGGCAGGGTATATGCTTGATTCTGTCCCTTTACCAGTTTTACCAAAACCCTCTGTTTTATCCTACGTTACGCACACAGCTGTCTCAGAACAAGAGTGCTAGCTCTACCACCAATGTTATTAAAAGCGTTAAAACTTTTTCTGCTTATGTTCTTCTTATTCTCCCCCCATTTTTCAAATGGCTGTACTCTATACTGTCAGATTGTTATATACTGGATTCTTTCCCTCTTAGTCCTCACTTAGGCCTAGTTCTGCAGGTAACCACATAGTTAATGCTCATCCCTACTCCTTATGTTGCTACCTCATATTTTAGTTGTCTGAAGTTTTGTTTTCTTCAGAAAGGGATCATGGGAAGAGTATTTCCTGAATTCTTACATACAGATAACAGTGTGTACCCTTGTAATGTCAGTTTTGCTGATTATAAAATTCTTAACTCAAACTTCCTTTCCTTGAGTGAACTCCAACTCTTTCTGGCACAAAGTGCTGTTACTGAAAAGCCTGATGAAAATCTCATTTTCTTTCCCTTAGAAGTCACAGGCTCTATTTTTTCCTCGTCTAATAGATTTTTTTCCCTCTTTTTTTTTTTTTAAGTCCAATAATTTTACTAGACTATGTCTTAGTGTTAAGTCATTCTGGCTGGATAGCTTCAGATGTGCTCCTTAGATATGTGGCTTAAAATATATTTTTTTTCTATTTCGGAAGAGTTTTGTTGAAATGTTGTTTTGGTAATTGTTACACAGCAATAGATAATGGATACAGTATCTGCTCTGATTCTTTTTTATCATATACTCAATATTCTTGGCCTATTTTCGATATCATTTTCCTTCACTCCTTTATATTTTTCTCCATTTCTTTTGGTTCTAAAAGAATTTTTTTACTACTGTTTTTTTAAGGCACGATCTGTTTACTTGCTCATATGTTCCTTGGTTTATTCTTTTTGAAATGATTTTTCTTTTATTTTACTTTCCCGGGTCTGTGACTTCGTTTCTAATTCTGATTTGTGGGGTTCTTTCACACCTCACATTGTTCTCTTACTATCTTTTGATTTGTTTTGAAGCAGTTGATAATTGATTTGATCTGTTTTATGAACACATCTTCTCTGGCTCGTTTTTACGTGAAATTCGTTTTCCTTAAGTTTTAGAATGAGGCTAAGTCCAGGAGGCTCTTCTACCTTCACAGAGCTCTCTGGCTTGGGGGTGATGTTCTAACACGCAGTGCCTTGCGTTCTCGGATTCCCTGGCTCTGTTCCCCTCCCCGACTCTGGACTAGACCGTCTCCTTCCTTTCCCTCTCTTATCTCTGTCCTGCTCAATTTTGATTCCAGTCAGAGCAGTTTTTCTTCAGTGTGGGGCCTAGCTTCGAGAGGTCATGGGGCTAGACTGCTCCCACCCCTCAAGTCTTCTTACCTAAGGTCTGAAGACTCACTCGCTATTGGAGAGGGCAAAATTCCCACCACGTCTTCATTCAACTTGCCTTTTTGGCCTGTGCAGAAGGCAGATGGATCTTGGGTAATGACAGTGGATAACTCTAAACTTAACCAGGTGGTACTCCCATTGCAGCTGCTGAACTAGATGTGGTTTCACTGCTGGAGCAAATAAACACTCCCTGGTACCTGGTATGTAGCTGTTGATGTGGCAAATGCTTTTTTCTCCATACCTGTCAATAAAAACCACCAGAAGCAGTTTGCTTTCAGCTATCAAAGCCAATCATACACCTTCTCTGTCCCATCTCAGAGGTGTAACAACTCTCCAGCCCTATGTTATACGTTAGTTTGCAGGATCTTGATCACCTTTCCCTTCTGCGAGATAGCATACTGGTCCAGGAGAGCCGAAGGTGTAACTTCAGTTACTACTGATACTTGCTGACAGCTATATCAACTGCTAACTGCTCTGTGAGAATTTATCTCGGTTATTTCTCAAAGCAACCCTTGGACAGTAGGTTGAATTCGGATTCATATTCTTACGTATGCCTTGAAACAATACTCACATAATCTGCAATATAAATGGCGGCCTCTTCAGGTGTGCAGTGCTGTAGCTCAGGTTATATTATTGTCATTTACAAATAAGGACACATAGCTGTCAGCAAATATCACTTTGGTTTACCATGTTCCTAGGCAGAGGCAATTCTGGAGGCTTCCACTTGACCTTTCTCACCATAACATTCCTCATTCTACAGGTCAGAGAGCCAATGTGTAGGTTCTACCAGCTGCTGAGTATATCTGCTTCACTTACACATCTCAGAACTGGGGAAATAATTTCATGACGGGTTCAGGGGTCCACTGGGCCCACTGTGAGACAGACCTGAGCTAAACTTCATTGACACCTGATCCTGCTAAGCTCCTCTTCTGACTGATGGACCTGACATTTTAAGTCTTCCGGAAATAGGGTCAGTTCAGAGGCAGTGTCCAGCAGTCCCTGAAATATCTGATTATTTCCTTTCCCCACAGCACAGTTATCCTGGTTAAAAATAGATGGATAGATGGAGTATGGATGGATGGAGAGACAGACAGACATACTGAACTATAGATACCTCTCTCAATATATATCCCTTTGGGGAAGGCTGGGAGAAAGATTACAGAGTACATTTTTGGCAGTCTACCGGGCTCCTCAAGGTAACTCAGCCTCCTGCTTATTTAAGTGGTCTGAGTCTGTAAACAGGCTCAAGTCTGGGAATGAATTGAGGGTCCGTGACTTCTGTTTTTATGATACAGGTTAGACTTTGGTTCATTTGACCTAGAACTCCTTAAACAGATCGAGTAAGAATTTAGTAGCCTTCCATTCTATTTTACTTCTAGAGACACTATGACCAACTGGCCAGCAAGTCTATACAAGTCAGACCAGTCGGCTGCTACTTGGACTCCGCTGGTCACCTGGTAACCAAGACCATCTTGCCTTTGGCCACGGAGTGCCACCACTTGGCACTCACTACCCTGAGATCCAATTACTCCCAGCGCATCTAGGTTCCCCAAGCCAGTTACCAGAGTTTCCGCTGCCAGGGCTCTGAAGAGTGATCACAAAGCCCCTCGAGGAGCCAGGGCCCCCTCGCAAGTTTATTTCTCACAGTTGTGGTGAAAAATCTGTCTTCTGGATGCATAAAATTAACCTTTGGATTACTTTCTGACTTCCCCTGAATTCAACTGGTGAGCAGATGACAACAAACAATTATAAACATTAATCTGCTGGGAGGGAGGAGATAATGTAATACAAGTCACAGAATCCCTTTAGCTGGGAAAATATTTCAATTCGTTAGATACCAGGTACACAGCATCACACAGTGTCAGACCCACGTCACGTGTCAAGAGTCAGCAGCCTCCACTGTTTGCACAAAGACCATCTGGCAATCATTTAGTTTGGATTATTTATGTAATAGCTGAGTATTCTCCCTATCTGTATCAGTTACAAAACTATAAAACTTTAAGCCACTCGATATATGAATATTTGCATGAAAGTGTTTCTTTTCACACAGCTTTTAGTGCTATGTAAATCTCTGTGGAATTTCTATATCAATTAAAAATCAAATTTATGTAAAATATATATATACACACATACATATATGTATGCAACCTAACATATATATGTGACATATATACATATATATATACTTTATATATATGTATATATATTTTAAAGTTAGGTGCTTTTTTTCCTCTATTCTAGTCTTTTTCTAATCACATCTTTTTCTTCTAATTACAATAAATAAAACAATTTTTAAAAATTATTTTATAATTTCAATGAATAGAAGTGTATTCTTAGTTTTTAATTTTAAAGGTATGAGTAAAATATTTTTTAAAAAAATTTTAAATGTCTTTTTACTTTTAAAATATCTATTTTATTTTGCTAGTGAGTAAGTATATCTAAAAGAAAGGTCCCAACCACTGTTTAGGCTCTTCCGCGTACCTGAAACAGAAACTCTCTTCCTATTATTAAGTTCATCCCCTTTTCACTCCTGAAAGGTGGATTCAAAATATCCATGGCATTTCCCCCTATTCTCTTTCATAACGCTGCTGTTTCTGATTACGCTCCCCCTGAACTCTCTCCTCTCTTGCTTGCATAATATTGTACGGTCCTCCTCCTCCTTTTGGCTTATCTGACTCTTCTTTTTCTTTTGCCGACCAGCCTATCTTTCTAAATGTGGCCATTCTCCAAGGTCCGGTGCCCTGGATGTTCCCTTTCTGTAGACTCTCCCTTGCTTATTCTCTCGGTATCAGACATCGTCTCTGTGCTGAGAGCTATCGAATATCTTTCCTCAGCTCTGTCCTCTCACCAGGGTTCTGGTTATACAACTTTAGCATTTGCGGGATATTTCTAAATGGATGCTTAGTATAACCACAAACCTAATAATTCAAAAACCACTTAACATTCTTCTTCTCAAATGGGCTCTGCCTTCCAACTATGATTCCATTCAATAGCATGAATGAACATTGCAGTCTTCTGGCTAGAAAGATTAGAATCTCTGTGGCCCAGCTCCCTGAGTCAGAGCTGACTAATGGGATGCAGTGTGGCTCTGGATCAGGAGGACTTAAACTGGATCCCAGGATTGCCATTACTTATTGTGTGATCCTGGATTAGTTACTCTCTGAACCTGGGTCATTATCTGTAAAATGAGATTAAGAATGTCCAGTTCACAGGATCAGATAATCTAGACTGTACATAAGACATAGTGGGCAAGCAATAGCCCCTCTTGTATCCAGTCAGTTACCCGATTTTGCCCATTCTTCCTCTGAAGGTCTCTCACGGCAAACGCCAACCCTTCGCCACACCTGGGTTACTCTAATAACCTCTCTGCAGTCTGCCTTCGATCTGGCCTCTTCATTCCATTCTTTATAGTGTGTCAAAATAATCTTAAAAGTATGTATTTATCAAATCATATTCTTATTAATAAAATCTTAAACAATTCCCTATTCCCTGACAATCGAGGCCTGATTAGCTTTCAAGGCCATTAGAACCCTACCCACCCAAAGCTATTTCCTGTGACTTCGCATCACAATACACTGCAGGTGCAGGGCTTCCTCGCTGTCCTGTGCTCACACCAAGGCCTTGCCCACCACCGCGCTGCTGCTCTGGTTCCCCCTGCTGCTGCACCGCCTGCATTTAAACCCTGTACCAAGCACAACTTACTGATGCTATTAAATGGTTTTCGTTTCCCTCGATTATTTAACTTATATTAACTCTCTCTCCCCGCTTTGATAATTTGCAGTTTATTATCTGTGACCCCTCTGTCTACTACAGTGTACCCCTGTATAATCAGGCAGATGGCAACTCCCAGGTGGATTAAAAGGATGGGACAAGAAAATGAAGATCAGATGTTCAGATTGACCACACTTGCAAATTTAAAAACCTGCGTAGTTTGTTATTGTTTATGTTGTATAAGTTTTTATCAACCCAACTAGAGTGAAAGCTTTTTGAAAATAAATGATTATTTTTTTCTGCAGTCTCATAAAAATCTAACACATCATTAACTACTTTGTCTAATTGACAAACCTTCCGATTATATATCACGTAAGTGATAAAATTCTTTAGAGTAAAAACCTCAATAGAGCAACATACGCCTTGCAGGGCAAGGTGTATGTCCATTCTCCACAGGGAACTTCTCTCTCATTCAGCTGTTCCTTCCTGGAAGACACCTCCCTCCCTCCCCAACTCCTCCCTCAGCTAAGAACCCTACTATAGTAAGCTACCGTGACTGATGAGCCTAGTCACAGGATTTAGTAGATACAGATCAAATGTTAAAAAAAAAAAAAAAATAGGACAAGACAGTTTTAATCAAGCTCAGAGGAAAAATAATTTTCAGCATTATCTATGGACAAAATCCTCAAATTACACCTACCATAGTCAGCAGGTGTATAATTGAGAAGTTCAAATTTCCAGTGTTTGTAGCTTGAATAATTCTGGTACATGTCAAATATTTCCCGAGTAAATTGTTGGCAGATATCACCTAAAAGAAAATACAAAAAGTGTTCAGTCAGCACCAGTTTCTAAGAGAAGGATTCTTAGGTCCAGGCCTTCGGGAAATGAGGAGTAACTACTTCAAATGCCAAACACATTTAGCAGACTTTTAAGTTGCAGTGTGTCAAATCAAAGTAAAATTTAGGTTATTGTTTAGATTATTTATAATAAAATTATTTTACTGACCTCCAGTGGTTCTTCCAGATGTCACTTCTAAAATGACATCATTTTTGTCATATTTCTCCTTTGGCACTAGACTCTGGCAAAACTAAAAAAGAAAAAATATATATGAGCATTAGTGAGTTTATGTTCCATGGGCATATGTACAAATATTACTTGAACTTAGATAAAAGACCCCAAACATTAAAAAAATCAGTAATTAACAAAATCATATAGCATCCCAGTGAGGTCTAGTCCTAAAATGCTTTAATAAGTAGACCCGATTAGACCTAAAACAAGTGATCAATTCATTGTTAACAATGAAGTTACTTGTCAGGATATTCTCTACAATGCTATCGGATTATCTTAATTTTCTAAAATGCAGACGTTTAGATCAAAGTCCAGAGGCCTCCATTCAATTTTCATCAGACTTTGCCTCTTATTAGTTCTGAACAGTAGTTTCTTTCATCTAATGAATGAAGTAAAGCTTTGAAAGTCTTCATTTGGACAAAATGAGGACTTTTTACATATGATTGTGTATTCTCTCCTGGCATTAATGACAGAGTACACCAGGCCATGCCCTGCCTTCTCAGTAGAGTCGCACTGTTTAAAGAATATGTTTAGGACACCCAAGATAAGGCTCAAATAGTTTCTTAGCTGTGACAAGAAAAAAATTGGGCTTCCTAATAAAGGAGTCAACTTTCTTCTTAGGGAGAAGAGGAACGCAATTTTACTTCTATTATTACTAAAAGGTCTTTTGAATCAAACTAAAAATATCTATGTGTCATGATTTTCCCTACTGTCAAATTTTAAATACACCATCCATGTTAGAAATGATGTAATCTGTGGGAGAGAATATTGGACTGAGTCAGACATCTTGCTTCTGCCTTTGATTAGCTGGCTGAGTCGTGACAAAGTAACAGATACTGCCACCTCATCCCCCTCAACCCCTCAAATAAGCCCCTCAGTCTTTCCCAAAGTAGGAAAGACTGAAGGCAGGAGGACGGCAAGCATGAGAGGGGAACATAACACACAGGACTGTGATTTTCATTGTCTTTTAGACAAATCATCCACTGAGTTAGAAGAAGCTAAAGACTCGTGTCAACCCATTTTCTCTATGCCCTGGATTCCTTCCATTCTATCCAGAATGCGAATTTTCAATCCTTAATTAACACAATCACCATGAACCAACTACCCTTTCTAAGGCATAAAAAATCCCTGATTCCTCCCCTTAGTGAACTCAATTTATCAGCATCTGTTTCCTTGTCCGGCAAGTTAATAGACTCAACTTTAGACTACTGTTGCCGGGGGTGGGGGAGGTGTTTTATTTTTTGATATCACAATCTCTTCAATCTCATTCTGTAGCAAATTACAGCACGAGAATCAGACTTAACAAACTAGAGTTTGGGAAATACTTAGAGCACCAAAGAATAGTCTAGCAAGACTACGATTCCTTTATATTAACACTATTGCGATGTGTTTACCTCCTAAAACATACCTCACTGTATAACGTGTTGATTTTTTGAGAGATGGTTTGCCTCTCTTCCAATGCAAGTTCTTGTAACTGCTTTTCATCTTGTTTATTTAGACCTAGAAACCAGCAACAGTAATAATGGTAAAAGTTTTTAAATACTTACAGGGCAACTCTTAAATAGCTACCTAATCTCTGTCTACTAAACTGTATTTCAGTTGTAAAGGCAGGAGATTGTATAAAAGAACAGTTAGAAGAGTTAGAGAATGTCAACTAGCAAGTATTTGTGAAATATGTTAAAAATATTCAGTGTGAAAAGAGCATGATCTTCCCCAAAGAACTTGTGATTTAAATGTCTCCAAGTCATCATAGAAATCACTGATTAACCAAACAGGTTTAAAAAGGGACTGGCTAATTAAGTACAATCCTACATAGTGTAAGCTGGGGTGGCCAGTTCTTGTCTTAAGGCTGCAGCCGTTGCTCGGCACACTCTGAGTGACCTGGCACGGCTAGAGCCTCCCTTTCTGTAGAGTGAATGTCGCTGGTATCACTGTTATTACAGAATACCAGAACTGTGAACCTAAAAGAGACTTTAGAAATGATCTGATCCAATCTGATATCACACATGATACAACCAAAGCTGGAAAAAGTTATGTCAGTTTAGCTTAGAAGGCATTCAGTAAGCTCCTATCTGTGCAAGTAACTTTCCCCAAACTAATTAGTTACATCATGCAAAAAGAATAAAAAATAATCCTCATTAAAAATAGGTGAGAGAGTTGTGCCATTAATAGCAGGCAAGAAAATGCAAGGCTTTGGACATCCAAGAGTTCACAGGGATAACTATGACTGGCCTTGACACCTCTAAGGCTTCCTTAAGCAAGCTGGAACACGGAACAAGGTTTGGAAACTAGAAACCAACAGCAAAATTTGGATAAATGTCGAATCCCACATTAGTCCATTATGCCGATCTCTCGACTTCTGCATGTTTTGAAAAATTTTCATGAGAAAAAATGTTAAGGCAATAGCAATATTAAGAAATACTAAAATTAAAAATAAACACCTCTCACATCATATAGAAAATAAATTCTAGTAGATCAAGATGTAAGGGCTAAAAATATAAAATTCTTGGAAGAAAACAAAAATATAAACCTTTTTGACCTTAGATACTGAAAACACAAGCAACAAGATCAAAAAAAACCCAAAAAACAAAAAACTGGACATCATCAAATTTAAAGTGTGGTGCTTCAAAAAACAATCCACAAAATGGAAAAAAATTTCTGCAAATCATACATCTGATAAAGAACTTGTGTCTGTAACATAAAGAACACATATAATTCAGTAATAGAAGGACAACTCAATCTAAAAATGGGCAAAGGATATGAAGAGTCATTTATCCAAAGATGATATACAAATGGCCAATAGGCGCACAAAAAGATGGTCGATATCATTAATCGGGGAAAGTCAAATCAAAATCACGAGGAGGTACTACTTCACACCCACTAGGATGGCTAAAATCAAAGGGGTAGATAACAGAGTTGGCAAGGATTTAGAGTAATCAGAACCCTCATACACTGGGGGTGGAATGTAAAACGGCACGGCCACTTTGGAAAACAGTCTGGCAGTTCCTCAAAAGGTGGAACATAAAGTTAACATACAACTCAGCAATCTGTGTCCAAACAAAAACTTGTACATACATCTAATAATTGAAAAGTGGAAATAACTCAATATCCATCAACTGATGAATGAATAAATGAAATATGGTATACCCATACAATGGAATATAATTCAGCAATAAAAAAGTGAAGTACAGCTATAGGCTATAACACAGATGAACTTTAAAAATATTATGCTAAGTGAAAATCGCCAGTCACAAAGGCTTTTTATATGAAATGCCTGAAATAAGTAAATCTATTGAGACAGAAAGTTGATTAGTGGTTGCCTAGGGTGGTGTTTCCTTTTAGGGTGATGAAATAAATCCTAGACCACATAAGCCCTTTGATGGGGTAGGAACTATATTCTTGTGCCCCTGGTATACAGCACTGTAGGACAGTGCTCCATAGAGGTCTGTTCAATAAATTAAAGCTTCTGAAAGGGTCAGTACTCAGTCTTCCGACCCTAAGAACTTCCTGGCATGGACCATGAGGAGTCAGTCTCTTAGCACTTCCGACCCTAAGAACTTCCTGGCATGGACCATAAGGAGCTCAGTCTCTTAGCACTGAAATACTTTAAACACCCAGAATACAGAGTCCTGTCCTTTCCAAGTATAGAACTTACTACTTGTAAGCTTTTTAAAAGACTGAGTTCAATAAAGTGTTAACTTAGAAAATCAGTCTTGTACCCATACAAGCACATATCTTTAACCTACTTTTATACATTGATTCTAACTCTTCAATTGCTTGTTCGGCCTCCTGAATTTCTTGGTAAATGGCTGCAAGTGGCGCCAACTCAGCGTGCCTTCGACTCAACGCTCTTTGGTCCCCTTGATTCACAGAGATATTCTTCAAACACTGATCAAGCGTTTGGTACTCCTTATTCAGGTCCTCCATATATTTCTGTAGTGCCTTATGCTTCCAGAGCATCCTGCTGTCCTGATGACAATATCTCCTGGAACAATTCTTATTTAGCAGATGATGGAGAACGTGATACCTGTTTTGTATAAAACCCCACAGCCTTCTATCAAGATGTATCTGTCTAAATTGATGAGAAAGGGGGTAGATGTGACACTGAAGAGATGGATGTCTAAAAAGCCAAACATAGAGGTGACGATTCATCTCAGCATCTGAAATATAATAAACACAATATGGAAAAAAAATCAACTCTATACATATGATAAAGCTGGAGGGAGCCTCAATATATCTTGTTCAGTTCACTGCCTCAGCCAGCTCCAAACATGGTCCCAAACTCCATAACCCACAAAAAAGAAAAGAATTCTACAAACCTCTGAAAACATAGTAAAATAAATGAAGATAGCACTGTTTTCTACCCACTGAATATATATAATTAACTAAGGCAAATGAGTAGGAATGTAACCAACAAATGTCAATAGAATAGGTTAAATCACTATTTTCTAGAAAGTATCTAGAATTGAGTGTGTGAAGAAACACGTGAAAGGTATAAAATAATCATGCAAACTTTAGGTGGTTCAGATATTCATAGATTTCTGAAGTTTGAAGGAAATATTACCTATTTTCTTGTCTAATTCTTTAATTTTACATATCCAATGTCCAAGGAAGTTAAGTAACTCAATGGTGATTATTTCCTCGGCCAGACAGAGGCAGAGCTGGTTTAGAATGCAGGGCCCCTCTTCAGAACTCGGTATTTTTCATCTCAAGTCTACAATCACTATTCAAAGAGCTTTCCTTTTAGCTGAATCCTAAAGGAAGCTTCAAATATTAACAGACTAAGAAAGTCGGTCTGCCGAAAAGGGACAAGAGCAATAACTACAGTTGACCCTTGAACAACACGGGTATGAACTACACAGGGCCACCTATATGCTGATTTTTTTTTTTAATAGTCAGCCCTCTGTAGTCCTCTAGTTTTGCATCTGCTGATTCAACCAAGTGTGGCCAAAAACAATGTTTTTCATCTGCTGCTAGGAATCTGTCGACTATTCTGCACTATTCTGCACCATTTTATATAAAGGATTGAGCATCTAGCCTTTTGCTATCTCCAGGGGTACCAGAACCAATCACCTAAGAATACGCAGGGATAACTGTAATTACGTTTTGGGGGAGTCAAAGTTATATGAGAATTTTTAACTGGGGGGGGTTGTTGCCCCAACTCTTGCATTCTGCAAGGATTGACTGTACAAAACAATATTATCTCATCTATGTTTTCATATTTTTCTACAATATACAGTATACATGTAAAAAAGGCAGAGTATTTTGAAAAAAACTAAAAAATAAATATACCCAAATGTTAATAAGATGATTTCTAGTTGTGAGATGATGGATACTTTTTGCTGGCTATTTTTTCTTTCTAGTGTTTTTCAAGTCTTCTATTTACATAGCACGTATTATTTTTACAATTAAGAAAAAAAAAGTTACTTAAAAAAAGTACAAGTTAGGTGAAATTGGCTGAGTACTATGTGTTCTCCCCTCTAACATAGATAACAAAGAGCTAACAAAAGCACACAGTGGTTTCATTGAGTAAGAAAGAGAAAAGATAAAGTGTTTTACGGAAAACACTTTGCCCCTAAAATCCTGAGGTTCAAAGTTGAAATAAGAGTCAAAATTTATCAAAATCAACCTTAACTGTCTCTGGTGTTCATACTATGCTAATAAATGCATTCATATATTAGTTTATTTGATTATAAGTCTACTACCTGATATATCATTACCTCCTATAAAATTAAATATTTAGAATAGTATCTAAAATATTCAAAGTCTTCAGGGTTCTACTAATACACTTTAACATACTGAAACACTGGGAAAAGGACTGTGGAAGAATGCACCAATGCCCAAATGCTACAATGCCCCGCAGAAGTTTCTATGTGTCTTTACATCTAGCCTTAAGCGCATCGGAGGACGTGTGTCCTTTTGAAAACGGACAGAATAACAGGACGGCAACATTTTTGTTATAACACGTCTAACTAAAATTTCCATCTTAGGAAAAGTAATAGAATGAGTAACTCTCAAGGTCACGAATCTCAATGTTAAGGACGGAGGCGGGGAGGACCCAAGACGATTACTCTCTGGGAGTATCTACGCCTGAGAACAGCAAGCGCTGTCCATCACCCACCACAGCAACAGGATTACTCTGATACTCCGGGAACAATACTCAGCGCCCGCGTGTCAGAAGTGACACTGAGCCTGAGCGAGAGCGGCTCGTGTAGGCCACACTATGTAACTCAGCATATGC